CGTGACCATTCACCCATGCACATGCACTCACGCACCCCCACAGACCCATACACAGTGCATTCACACACCCACGCACATACACTCACACCCACGTGCACTCACAGTCACACCCTGGCATGCATGCAAATGCACTCACACACCCACACCCGTACTCAAACTCAAGCATACTCATACATGCACTAACACTCCCACACCCCCATGCACACGTACTCATACTAACATGCACAGTCACACATGCACTCACACTCACTAGCACTCACACACGTACTCACACTCAAGCACACATACACCCCTCCCCTGCAGGTACACCAGGAGCCCTGGGGAAGAAGCTTCTGAAGGGTTTCAGGGGCTGATGGAGGATGAGTCTGCAGCTGCATTCTCTGCCTTCCCCACTCTCTGGCCCAACCCCTGAGAGCAAGGACAATCCCTTCCTCTCTGTCCCATGACACCCTCCCCAGTTCAGGCCCCAAGATGACCAAATCACAACTCTTCCCCAGAAAACCCTTTTGTCACCCTGGCCTGGTTCCTGAAGCGCCTTCAGGAATTTAAGTGGTTCTGTGCGCCTAGACAGAGAACCCGCCTGCAGGTGGAGGCCCGGGGCTCACATCCTGTCCTCACCAGTCTGTTACTAACTGTAAGATCTTGGGTAAAACCCATCTAACATTTCTGAGCTTCAATTTCTTGGCGTTTAAACACCTCAAACACATAGAGGAAAACAGGCTTTTGTCGTCTCTTCTACTCTGATCTAATTCCGGTTTACTTCAACTGCCACCTCCTCCCGGAAGCTCTCCTTGATCCCCCAGGCAGTCAGCACCTCCCTCTCTGGCCACATCATTCCCTGTCACCTCCTGTTGCTGTCTCTCCCTGCTTGCTCTGACCCCCTGAAGGCAGAGGCTGGTGTGACGCCAGTGCCCCTCACCAAAGCCACTCAGAGCCCCCATCACTATCCATGGAAGGCACCGGATGAAACCAGAAGGAGAGGAGGGACGGCCAGGCGACGTGGGGGAGCCTCTGTCGCCCGAGCTGCATCTCCCGGCAACATGGAGGACGCTGATCTCGTGTGTTTTGCTCTCTCCTCCCACCCCTGCATTTGCCTGAGCAGCAAACTTTGGGCTTGGCAGCGACTCCAGGACTGTGGTTCTCTGTTCCTTCCAAGGCTTCAGGAAGCATCCTCTTGCTGGAAGAAGTTTGGATCCTGTTGGGGAGCTTCCTGGGGACTCTGTGAAGGGGACTCCCCCTCCCCACCGCAGTTCTCCCGCCCAGGCAGCCCGTTCCCTGCCTCCAGTTCCTTGGGGGATTAGAGGGTTTGGAAGGAGGTCTGGGAGGCTAGCTGGCCTGAGACAAGGCCAGCCCCAGGCTCCATCTGCCGGTGTCCCCAGCCCTCCCCACCCCCTGATGTCCTTGGCTCCTGACCTCCTCCTCCGAGGGCTCCTGCAGTACTGGTGCCCCTCAAAGCTCCTGCCCGCTGCGACTCGGATGCAGTCCCTGTCCCTGTGGATGGTGCTGGACGCCGGCCTCTGTGAGCTGTGTCCTAGCCTGATTCAAACCCTCTTCACTCCAGGCCAGACATACCCAATGCTCTGCCTGGCTGCCCTGCCCAAAAAAGAACATCTGGACCTCCCTACCAACGTTGACGATGCGTCATTTGAAAATCGTCTCGGCCACGGCTGGTTTCTAGCCCTGTCAGAGTGAAGAGTGGAGACCACACATCGGGACACTGAGATTTGAGCTTGGCCTCCCTGTGATGTCACCACGGAACGTGGGATTCTGTGTGCTCGTCTGCAGAATGGGGGCAGTTCCCACCCCAGTGCAGGTGCAGAAGCCCACAGGACACATGTGCCCAGCCCCTCCCTCCCAATGACCCAGTGGCCCTGCCTGGGGAGACACTGGCTGTGAATGGGCATCCCAATTTGTTCACCTCCGCTGTACCCCACACCCACCCCAGGACAAACACACTTCCGCATGTTGTGACTAAGAACACAGGCCTCAATTTGAGAACAGTTCCCTATGAATTCGCTGTGTGACCCAAGACAAGTTACTTAACTTCTCTGGGCCTCAGCGCTGCCATCTGTATGATGGGGATAATAGTGAGGATTCAGTGAAATAATGTGCATAAAGTGCTTGGCACAGAGACTAAACGTTTGCTAGGTACAGCTGTCATTACTCTTATCTGTCTGGAAGACGGGGGGCCAGGCTGCCTGGGCTCTGTTTGTCTGAGGGGCAGGGAAGCCTCCTGGGAAGGAGCTCACTCTAAGGAAACAGCAAGGCACAGCGCTTTGCCCAGGGAGGCAGGCCCTAGACAGGTGAGTCTGGGCACAGGATGGTGGGTGCCTCTCACCCTAAGGGACTCATGGCTGCACCCAACAGGGACCAAGCCCGTCCAGCCTTCCCACACCTCTGTGGGAGACTGAGGCCAACAGCGGAACTTGAGGGTCCAGAGACACTGGGGGCCCAGGGGCTGGCAACCATGGGAGGCAGGGTCCGAGGGGCCTCTGGTGGGCACCAGGCCAGCGAGGAGAATCAGAGGCTTCGGAAACCCCCTGGAGCCCGCTTGGGGGGTCTTTGCTTTCTGCCACAGGAGGGGACACTGAACAGCAGAAATACTGCCTGTGGCCAGAGTCGTGACCCTGTTTGTACCCCCTGATTTTGCGAAATGGGAAACGTGTTTGGATTTTCCTTATCCAAAAAGAAAGTTAATTGGGAAATTTGATGACGTCTGTTAAGACCCTCCAGCACCCTCTCAGCCGTCTGAGGCACGGGTGCTGGTTTTCCTTTTTTCACAAGGAAGGATGTTTGCTTACTCCACAATTTTTTTATTTTGATTTTTAGTTGACAACAATCGCATCTATTTATGGAGTACAATGTGATATTCTAATGTGTGTAGACTTCATGAAACGATTTCACTCAACAGCAGGCATCTTCCGTGCCCCAGCCCCTGGTGATTCTGTGCTGGACAGGGCAGACCCAGCCCACCCACTAGAGCTGGTCGGGGAGCCGGCTGCCCGGAGCCAAGGGAGCGCAGCCTCCGAGCTGCACAGGCCGGGTTCGGACCCCAGCCTGCCCCTCACTGCATGAGGCCTCTGCTCACCCATCGTGTGGGAGTTCACAGCAAGTGTGACTCAATGAGGTACCAGGAATGATGAAAAGAGAAACTTTTTGAAAAACAAACTTAAACAGTAAGACTAAACATCGTACGTTTTCAAATACCTACATATGAAAAACTATATAGTTGTCTTTTCAATTTGAATGCAGGATTCAGGAGTGTGGGATGCACAGGCCCTCGGTAGAAGCGAGTTACGGACAATGCTCTGGTTCTCGTGTTGGTGGTGGGCTCACAGGATTTATTATACACATCGCACAGAAAAACAAACCCACCGGGCCAGTGATCAGATCCTGGGTTCCTGAGGTCCTCCCCAGAATTAAAAACCACAATGCAGGGATGAGGACAGGGAGCATGGCTCCTGGAGGCACGTCCTGCCTCCTCCCTGCCCCCCGTTCTGGAATATGACATTTCCTCACTGGGAAAAGCAGATTTGTGCCATCCCAACAAGTTTTAAAAGAAACAAAAAGCGCTTTTCCCTCCTGAGAACCCCGGACTCCAGGAGCCCATCCGTCCCCACGCAGGCATGCAACAAACTTCGTGGGTGGGCCCATGTCAGGCCCACCCTTTGCCGCCACTGCCTGCAGTGAGGCCACCTGTGCCCAGCACACTGAGGCCTGTGGTTCAGCCACAGGGAACAGCTGCAGCTACAGGAGGTGTCAGGGACAGGAGCTTCGAATGCCTCTAACCATAGCTACTGTGTTAGGTTCTTCAGAGAAACAGGACCAGGACGGTACAAAGATATACAGCACGTATATTAATACACAAAGGAATTGGCTGTCACGTGAGTCCCAGGGTCTACAGGTGAGTCTGCAGGCTGGAAACGCAGGAAGAGCTGATGCTGCCATTGCAGTCTGAAGGCAGCAGAAAGCCAGTGTCCCAGCTCCAAGGCCACCAGGCAGGGAGAGTCTCTTTCCCAAGACGGTCAGCTTTTTGTTCTATTCAGACCCTCAACGGACTGGAGGAGGCCCACCTGCATTGGGCGGGACCAGCTACTTAACTCAGTCCACCGACTCAAGTGTTCATCTCACCCAGAAACACCCTTGCTGACATGGCCAGGGTCCTGTCTGACCACATATCTGGGCACCCCATGGCCCAGTCAAGTTGACACAGTGAAATCAACCATCACAGCTGCCAAGGGCCAAGTGAGAGCCCAGCATCCAAGCACCTGCTGACCTGGCCCAGGAGCCTGGCTTTTGCTGGCCTGTACTTAGGCGTCATGGCTCAACCCAGCATAAGACACTGCCGGGAAGGTTCCTGGTGTCACTGATTGAAGATGCTGGCAGTGCCATCGCCCCACCTCCTCTGTGAGTTGCCAGATTTAGCAAATAAAAATAAAAGAACTTCAGGATCAATCTGAATTCAGGTAAATGATGAGCAAGGCACGAGTGGATATCCCATGTGATCACTGCATACATTCCACGCGCCTGCCCCACTCGTGGCTTCATCCTGTTTTCCACCATTCTGTTTCCTTCCGATTCCCTCACTTCCTTCAGATTCAGAGGGATAGACGAAACTAGGAATGAGACCAGCCTTCCTGCCCTGCCCTACCGTCTGCATGAGTCTCCCTCCACTGGTCCTACTGTGTATGCCAGGCCCCTGAGCCACCTCCCACCCTTTGCAGAGCCCTCTTTTCCCTCCCTCTCTCCTCTCCCCTCTCTTTCCTCTCCCCTCTCCCCCTTCTCCGTTTGCCCCTCTCCCCTCTCCTCCCTCTCTCTTCTCCCTTCTCCCCTCTCCTCCCTCTCCCCTCTCCTCCCTCTCTCTTCTCCCTTCTCCCCTCTCCTCCCTCTCTCCTCTCCCCTTTCCTCCCTCTCTCCTCTCCCTTCTCCCCTCTCCTCCCTCTCCCCTCTCCCCTCTCCTTCCTCTGTCTTCTCCCCTCTCCCCTCTCCTTCCTCTGTCCTCTCCCCTCTCCCCTCTCCTCTGCCTGGACCAAAATGCCTTATCCCCTTGGTTCTCAGCTCTTGAATGAGACCACGTTGCTGGAGCACGCTCTATCCATGCCCATCCCACGATGCTTGTGGCCCTGGTTTCCTAAAAAGTATCCTGAGCCACTCCGGGTTATCCCTCCCATGGCATCTGTGTGGCCTCCAAGGTTCCTGAGGGCCAGACGTCTTGGGCCATGGACGTGAGGAGCCTTCAGTGGATGTGCTGGTTTTGTGCCTACCCATTGGGCAAGAGGCTTCTCTTAGGAGACCTACAAACCTCGAACCCCAGCAGACGTGCTTGAGGGCCTGTGATAGATGGTCACAAGGCGCAGGTGTTCTGGACCGAGAGGTGGGACCCCATCTGCTACACAAGGTGACTGTGTGACCTTGAGCAATCTGCCTCACTTTCGGGCCTGTTTCCTCATCGCCAGGGCCCTGCTTGTCCATCTAACATTTCATCCTCCACCCAAAGCCCAGTGACTCTGCTTATGGATAAAGCAGATGATCTGGCCGGTGTCAACATTAGCAGCATGGAGAGGCTCAGCTCATAGCCATTCTGCCCCAGAATAAATATTCATCCATTTGCTCAACAAACAGCAAAGATTTGCCCAAGGATGGAGCTGAGAAAAAAATCATCCACACCCTTGAGCTGCTGATAAAGACTGACTTTCAGGGATGCCAGTTGAGCAGGGATAATGCTGGGAGAGTGATTTGGTCTTCCAAGATTAGACATCGAGCAGGTCTCTCTGGCCAAGGCCAAAAGGAGCCAGTTGAACTTGACATTGGCTGGAGTTCAAGTGTTGCCATTTTATTTGTGCTGTGTTTTGAGGGGCCATCAGAGAATGAGGACTAGAGGAAGGGAGAGGTGGAGATGGGCTCGCCTGACCAGCCTCTGTCTCCTGCCTGTGCTGGGCGGGACAGAGGGGACCTTGCTGGATATGAGAGAGTGGACACACGGTCCACTCCTCCCCCTGCTGAGGCTCAGCCTCATCTCGGCACCATGCTTACCCCAAGATGACAGTTTGTGACCACGTTATCGACAAGAGCAGTTTATAAGTTGTTCATGCCCTTCACAACAGCAGTGAAATTCATCCAAGTCCCAGGCTTCAAATCTAACAAATCACCTAAGCCTGAAACTCAGTACACGAGGAAACTGAGGCTCCGAGAGGAAGGGAAAGTGACTTTCCAGGATCGCACAGGAAGGCAGAACCCTGCTCTAGCCACTGAACCTACTGAAGAAATCCATGTGGTCCCATCATGGGACCCCTGCCCCATAAAACCACCAATACACCAGCTTCAACAGAATGCGAAATGGAGCGGCCGGTGCAGGGAGAGGGGAACAGCAACCCCAGTGTCTCCGCATGTGCCCAGCTTTGGGCCACGGGGAAAGCTTTACCTCTGCAGGATGCTGACTCTGCACACCAGTAACTATTAATTGTATGGCTGTGGAAAACCAGACATCAGTTTCAAAGGGACTCCCCCTCCAGTTTCGAGACAAGGACAGGTGGATGATGGAAAGATTCTATGCTGAGAACAAACACACATCAAGCCGGTTTTGGCAGCATCTGGAATCCAAGCTGCACATGAGGCCGGCTCAGCCCCTCCAGGCTCTAACAGCCTCTCCCCAGGTCTCCATGCTTGATGAAGGGACAGCCCAAGTAGACAGAGGAGATGAATTCCAAGAATTTGATCTTTCAACACCCAAGGCACTGGAGCCTGAGGGCAAGAAATGCTTTCCTGTGTCTTTAAGCAGTGTCCATGCTCCTCAGAGCCCAGCAGAATGGCCCCAGGTCTTCTTCTGATCTCTTCTCATTCACTCCTCTGCCAGCAAAAAGGCAGGGAGCACCTACTGTGTGCCAGGCCACTGCGGCCCAGAACGCTCCTGTGCTTGGGACCCTGCACCCCCTCTTTCAGGGCACACACTGCCCCGTCTTGCACCTGCCTCTGCCTCGTCTCATTCTCCCCCCTGGACCATGAGTGTTCATGGGCAAAGACTCAGTAGAGTCCTTGGAGCTGACCAGGTTAAGATGAGGTCGCTGACACAATGGATCACGCCTGTGATCCCAGCATTTTGGGAGGCCGAGGTGGGTGGATCAAGAGGTCAGGAGTTGGAGACCACCCTGGCCAACATGGTGAAACTCCTCAGCTACTAAAAATACAAAAATTAGCTGAGCATGTTGGTGGGCACCTGTAATCCCAGCTACTTGGGAGGCCGAGGCAGGAGAATTGCTTGAACCCAGGAGGCAGAGCTTGCAGTGAGCCGAGATCACACCATTGCACTCCAGCCTGGGCGACAGAGCAAGACTCCATCTCAAAACAAAAACAAAAAAGGAAGAAAAGAAAAAAAAAAGATGAAGTCATGAGGTGGGTCCTGAATGGACACTGTGTCCTTATGAAAGGGGAAGTCTGGACACAGACAGCCTCCTGGGAGAGCACCACACGATGATAAAAGGCAGAAATTAAGCCAAGTGATGTCACAGATCACCAGAAGCCTGGAGACAGGCCTGGGACAGAGCAGGACAGCGCCAGCCTGCTGCACCCTACGTCTCAGAGCCCCAGCCTTCAGAACTGCAGGACAATGACCATCTGTTGTTACACTGCCCAGTGTTCACTACTGTGTGATGGCAGCTGATGTGGTCTGGCTGTGTCCCCACCCAAACCTCATCTTGAATAGTACTTCCCATAATCCCCATATTTCATGGAGGGACCCAGTGGGAGGTAAGTGAATCAATCGGGGATTTTCCCCATGCTGTTCTCATGATAGCGATTGCATTCTCGCAAGATCTGATGCTTTTATAAAGGGCTTTTTTCCCTTTGCTTGGGATTTTTCCTGCCGCCCCGTCAAGAAGGTGCCTTGCTTTCCCTTCCCCTTCCGCCATGATTGTAAGTTTCCTGAGGCCTTCACTGTGAGTCAATGAAACCTCTTTCCTTGGCCAGGTGCAGTGGCTCACAGCTGTAATCCTAGCACTTTGGTAGGCCAAGGCTGGCAGATCACCTGAGGTCAGGAGTTCAAGATCAACCTGGCCAACATGACTAAACCCCATCTCTACTTAAAAAAAAAAAAATTAGCTGGGCATGGTGGTCGGTGCCTGTAATCCCAGCTACTTGGGAGGCTGAAGCAGGAGAATTGCTTGAACCCAGGAGGCAGAGGTTGTAGTGAGCTGAGATGAAGCCACTGCACTCCAGCCTGGGTGACAAAACGAGACTCCGACTCAAAAAAAAAAGAAAAAAACCACCTCTTTCCTTTATAAATTACCCAGTCTCAGGTATTTCTTCATAGCAGCGTGAGCATGCACTAATACAGCAGCCTTAGCAAGTGGATACAGATTTGGGTGGAAATTTGGTGGGAATGAGTGCTGGCTGAACGTGCACAATGAGATATCTTGCCTTTGAGGTAGGCAGCTTCGGACTCAGGTGCTGCTGATAACCACAGGTGCTGAGCATTTCTGACGCAGCAGACATCCTCTCAGGCTTCCAGATCTGCTCACCTGCCCCTGCTGGGCAGGCATGAGCACCGCCCTCTACTTAGATGCAAGAAGAGGGTTTGCAGCTGGGTGGCTGGCTGGGGCTGGCTGTGGGGCATGAGCCCAGGTGGCCTAAATTCAGAGCCCACATTCCTAAATGACAAGTTCTCCTACTTTGTCAGCAGGTGTGTGCTGGCCCCAGCTCTGCCTTTCACTGTCTGTAATATTTAAACACACCTCTCTGAGACTCGGTTTTCCCATCTACAAAATGGAGCTTCCTGGAAGAAGTGATAAGGAAAGAGGGTGTGCCCAGGACTGAGCCTGCCCTCAGGGGGACAAATAGGACAAGGACATGTGAACTGATGGTTCTCAGACAAGGTCAACTGTGCTGAGGGCCATCTGAGCCACACAGAGGGGCCAGTGGGGAAGATGTGCCACCGGCACAGGTGCCGTCACACTGTCACCCCTGGCAGGGGAGAGCTGGGATGTGGACACTGTCACCACACCCTGCATCTGAAATCCAGCGGGTGACTTTGCAAGCCCAAGGGAAAGGGTCTTTCACCCATCGCCATGCTCAGGAGAAGCCGGGACTTGAGCTGTGCCCTGGACCTTGGCATGCTGGGCGCTGCAGGTCCCCAGCCCCCCATGGACTTCGCAGGGAAGAGTGAGGGCCTCTCCAGCTGGTCACCTCTGGTCCCACTCACATGGTCGAAGACAGCGTGGGAGGGTAGGAGTGTTCATGGGGAACAAGCTTGCATAAAGGCCTACCCTTAGCCTGCCTACCCGCCCAGTTCCCCGGCTCCCCACACACACTGAGCATCGCACCGGCTCCTCACCCAGCATATTCTCATGGCCTTGGTCCCCACTGAACAGGAGCCACTTGGAGAGAGCGGGCTCCCCTTTTCACCTTTCGCCTGGCTGTGCTTCTCCCTGTCCTGAGCAATCCGCCCCTCCACTGCTGTGGGGTGTCCTTCCCGTGCACCTCAGGGCACGCACCCCAGCCTGGAAAGGACAGGGGCCCTCAGGAGCGAGGCCAGGAGACCCAAGGCGTTCGAGGCTCTCCACTCTGGGCCCGCCTGGCCTCCCAGCTTCCTCCTCCTCCACTGCTGACAGGGACCTTCCATCACACCACGAACAGCCCCCATGTGCACCTAGCTCCCCCCACGCCTTTGCACACAGTTTCTTCTGCCAGAAATGCTCTTCCCACTCTTCCCCGCCCACGGAAGTCCAGCTTTTGGCTCAAGAGTCTTCAGCATACCCCTCTGCTGTGAGGGCTCCCCGAGGGCCCAGGGCCCAGCCTCTGTCTCACCTTCCTGCTCCAGACTCTACTCTGGACGTGGAAGTCAAATGAGTTCCCTAAAATATGCCAAAGAGCTTGCATTTGTCCTGTGGGAAAACCAGTCGAGGCTCCCATCTGCGGGAAGCCCCGTCTGCACACCTGGCCTCGCCTCCGGTGCCTGCCAGCCACCCCCTCACACCCTCTACTTGTTCTCCTCCTGTGGGGCCAGACACATCCGGGTTTACATTTCTGTTCCCCTATGACCTTGGACATGTCACACATACCCACTGAACTGAGCCTTTCTTTTCTTTCTTTCTTTCTTTTTTTTTTTGAAACAGGCTCACTCTGCCGTCCAGGCTGCAATGCAGTGGCGCGATCAGGGCTCACTGGAGATGGGCTCACTCTGCCGTCCAGGCTGCAGTGCAGTGACGCGATCAGGGCTCACTGGAGACAGGCTCACTCTGCCGTCCAGGCTGCAGTGCAGTGGTGCAATCAGGGCTCATTGGAGACGGGCTCACTCTGCCGTCCAGGCTGCAGTGCAGTGGTGCAATCAGGGCTCATTGGAGACGGGCTCACTCTGCCATCCAGGCTGCAGTGCAGTGGCACGATCAGGGCTCACTGGAGACGGGCTCACTCTGCCGTCCAGGCTGCAGTGCAGTGGCACGATCAGGGCTCACTGGAGATGGGCTCACTCTGCCGTCCAGGCTGCAATGCAGTGGCACGATCAGGGCTCACTGGAGATGGGCTCACTCTGCCGTCCAGGCTGCAGTGCAGTGGCACGATCAGGGCTCACTGGAGATGGGCTCACTCTGCCGTCCAGGCTGCAGTGCAGTGGCACGATCAGGGCTCACTGGAGATGGGCTCACTCTGCCGTCCAGGCTGCAATGCAGTGGCACGATCAGGGCTCACTGGAGACAGGGGCTCACTCTGCCGTCCAGGCTGCAGTGCAGTGGCGCGATCAGGGCTCACTGCACCCTGACTTCCCAGGTTCCAGCAATCTTCTCACCTCAGCCTCTTGAGTGCTGGGGCCATGGGAACACGACACCATGCCTGGCTAATATTTTGGATTTTTTATAGAGACAGGATTTCCCAGTGAATTGGGACTCCCTTTTTTGTGTGTGAGACAGAGTCTCGCCCTGTCTCCCAGGCTGGAGTGCAGTGGCATGATCTCAGCTCACTGCAACCTCCACCTCCCAAATTCAAGCAATTCTCCTGCCTCAGCCTCCTGTGTAGCTGGGATTACAGATGCACGCCAGCAAGTCTGGCTAATTTTTGTGTTTTTAGTAGAGACAGGGTTTCACCATGTTGGTCAGGGTGGACTAGAACTCCTGACCTTGTGATCCATCTGCCTCAGCCTCCCAAAGTGCTGGGATTACAGGCATGAGCCACTGCGCCTGGCCATGAATTGGGACTTTCTAAGGTTCCTTGCAGCTGAGGTTCTCATGCTGGAAGAGATGCCAAGTTGGGAACATGTGTTCATGGGGTCCCAGGCCCCTTTGAAAAGGAGTCTCCCCCAGGCAGCCCCCCAAGAGTGTCTGCAAAGGGCTCCTGTGCGACCCTGCAGTTTGATCTACATAAACCACTAACCTTTGGAGTCTTGGAGAGGATTAAAATAGGAAGCCATCTCCGCCTCCCACACGGGGTAGACAGTTTTCACAGTTCACACAGCACTTTGGCTCAGAGATCCGGGGCTGCCGTTCCAGCATTTTCAGACATGACGATCAATACTTTAAACATGGATTAAAAAGGAAAGGTGAATAGTGATGACAGCAGGATGTCTGGTTACCACGACCTTCACCTGCCTGCCAGCATATCTCCTTTTGCTTCTGAATAGACCCAGAGTGGGACCTGCACACGCACGCACACACACGCACACACATGCACACACCTGCCGCACAGACATACATGCGTAGACATTACTCACCGGCGAGTTTTCTGTGAGGCCGGCAGATCCTGTGCTCCAGGGCTCCTCACCTGCAGGGCCCCTTCTAAGGTCTGGGAGGAACAGAGGGTGGTGGACATAGAGGAACGGCCAAAGTCAAGGCTGGGAAGTTAGGAGAAGTCAAATCCAAGAGGAGACCCATGAGCCAGGGCGAGCCTTCCCATGGCAACACCTGCCAGGAGAAGGGAGGATTCAGGTGGCTCCATATTTGGGCACAGAGCTGGTCCCCAGAGAGACCCTTAAGGTCACCCATCCCCAACATTCTGCAGATGAGGAAGTCCAGGCCCAGCGAAGCAGCGGGCCACTGTCCTTACCTCTGCCACCTATGTCCAGGCGGCCTCTTCTTCAAGCTCCCAGCAGGTGGTGATAAGGACATGAAGGCTTGGCCTCTGGTTCACGCAGAACCCTGAGCTCCAGGAAGTGGTGTTAGTTCACTGGATAGATATTGATTGAGCTCCTCTGTGCCAGAACCCTAGCTAGGCCCTTGGGGGTCGCAAGATGTAATCTCTGTCCCTGGGGAGCTCCAGGTCTGGGGGAGGCTGCCCCAGTGGTGCTGAGCCAACAGCAGGGCAGGAGGCCATTCAGGAAGGGGATGCCAGAGGTGAGGGGCGAGAGCTTCCAGGATCCACAAGTGGCTTGGCAAGGCTAGAGCACGGGGGGCGGGGGAGCCAGCCGCGCAGCACTCACTGAGCTTGCCTGAGAGTCGGGGTGGGCTCCTGGCATCAGAGCCGCCTCTCCTGGAGCTGCTGGCTCCGAGAACCCAGACGAGGAACCTTCCCTCAGTTCCTATCTAACAGTTTGCTTTCTGGGCAACCTTTCCCATCTCCGAGTTACATGCTCGGAGGAGACTTCAGAGTGTCGCGCTGACATTTCAACTTCTCCAAGCTGCTTGTCACCTTCGTGTTTTATTTCTACACAGCATGTAAGAGGGCGGTATCTGGCCAGCGTGGAGCCCAGTGAACGGGCCTGGCCTTTTCCTATGGAACATTTGAAAGGTTCTTGGCAGGATCCTGAATACCTATCAGAGGGGGCTGCCGAGCCCACTGGAAAAGCTCCAGGGAGAGGGAAGAGAGTTCCAGAAACCAAGGAGATGCTCTGAGCCTCCAAAACACCCGCTGGTGCGTTCCACCGACCGGGGTTATGAAAAGGCAGGCTTTTAAACCTGCGACCTGCCATCAGAAGCTGTGTGACTAGGGGAAAGCAACAGGACCTAGAGCCAGAGGGCCTGCGTACCAGCTGCAGCTCCCAGCTCTCTCCTTCTGGCTGTGGAGGCTGGTCTGCTTGCTGACCGTGTCTGAGCTCGAATCTTGCTCTCTACATAAGTGGGATAATAATAAATAGCTCATGGAATCCCTGGCCTTTGTAAAATGTCCGTGCTTTTTAAAATTAAAAAACACCATCTGTACAGGAGGGATTATTGCTGTCACTAGTCACAGATATGGTGAAAGGAAGATCCTGAATCCCTGAGTCACCAGCTGGAGGAGAACTGCCCGCTACACTCAACGGTTCCCTCAGGACCAACGCAGGAAAGCCACTCTGCCGTCTTCATTAAGTCACTGCATTTGGGGAGCATCTTTTAAGCAAAGCTCAGCCTTCCCAGCACTCAAACACGTTCCTTTGATATTTACCGCCCTAGGGCAGTGCTGCAGCCCCGAGAGCACCATTGTGTGGGTGATGCAAATGACAACGGCAAGTTGGATGTGTGGCACACAGGTGGCCAGTAACTTCTGGAGGAAGATTCGGGAGGAGTTCATCTGCAGAGGGAGAAGGATGGGGGTTCCTGGGAGGATCACATGGGGTCGAGGGAGAGTTTTTAGAAAGTTCTTACGTTTATTACAATATTAGTGGGAAGCCTAGCGTGGCAGCTCTCACCTGTAATCCCAGTACTTTGAGAGGCAGAGACAAGAGGACTGCTTGAGACCTGGAGTTTGTGATCAGCCTGGGCAACATAGTGAAACCCTGTCTCTACAAAGAATAAAAATTTAACAATTAGCTGGGCCTTGTGGTGGGTGCCCGGGGAGGCTGTGATGGGAGGATCTCCTGAGCCCAGGAGGTCGAAGCTGCAGTGAGCTGTGACTGTGCCACTGCACTCCAACCTGGGCAACAGAGTGAAACTCCGTCTCAATAAATAAATAAAAATACATATGAGTAGGAAGGAGCCAGATGTTGAGGGGAGGAGAAGATGAACATGTAGGAGGGGAGGCCTTCATTAAATATAAGGTCCCTGGGAAGAGCGGGAGACAGGGCTTAGTGTGTAGATGGAAGGATTGATCGTTTGTAGGAGAGTGGGCCCCTCTCAAATCATTGCTGTGAATATTTAATAATATAAACCATGTCAAGTACTTAGCACAGCAGCCAGCACTTAGGAAAAACTACCCTATGTTAAATGATATCATCTGAGACTGGGAATGACTGTTCGTTTTGATCAAATGCCTTTAGGCCTCTATTGAGATAATCATACATGTTTTTTCTTATGTAATTTATTGATGTGATTTCTTATCCTAGTAGATTTTCTTTAACATTAAACCACTCTTCCATTCCTGGAACAAAGTCTACTGGACTCTGATGAACAATTAACGTGCTATTGAATTTGACTGGCAAGTATGTTATTTAGAAATTTTACATCTATGTTCACAGGTGAGATGGGTCCATCATTTTATTCAAGGGTTGGCATTGGTAGATTTTGGGGGATGAGCTAATTTTAACTTTGCAAGATTATTTGGGTTATTGATCTTTTCTATGCCTTGGAAGAGTTATTTATATTTATATTTATATTTATATATACATATATACGCACACAGCTACATATAGATATATACGCTCTGTTCATTGAATATTCTAAATAACTTATTTTAAACTACCTGAGAGTCAAAGGAGAGGGAAAACAAGTACCTTCTTTTGAAAATATTTTCATGAAAATTTTCAGTTACAGAATATGGAAGTTTTTTGTATCTTCGCAAGTTTTTGTTGTTGTCGATGTTGTTTTCTGTTTTGTTTTGTTTTGTTTTGAGACAGCGTCTGACTCTGTTGCCCAGGCTGGAGTGCAGTGACATAATCTTGGCCCACTGCAACCTCGGCCTCCTGGGTCCAAGTGATTCTCCTGCCTCAGCCTCCCGAGTAGCTAGGACTACAGACACCCAGCACCACGCCTAGCTAATTTTTGTATTTTTAGTAGAGATGGGATTTCGCCATGTTGGGCAGGCTGGTATCAAACTTCTGACCCTAGGTGATCCACCTTCCTTGGCCTCCCAAAGTGCTGGGATTATAAGCAAGAGCACTGCACCCTGCCATCTCAAGATTTTTGATAATTTAGAGTGTTCCAGAGAATTGTCTGCTTTCACTGATATTTTCGTGTTTTTTTTTTTTTTTTTTTTTTTGAGACGGAGTTTCGCTCTTGTTACCCAGGCTGGAGTGCAATGGCGCAATCTCGGCTCACCGCAACCTCCGCCTCCTGGGTTCAGGCAATTCTCCTGCCTCAGCCTCCCGAGTAGCTGGGATTACAGGCACGCGCCACCACGCCCAGCTAATTTTTTGTATTTTTAGTAGAGACAGGGTTTCACCATGTTGACGAGGATGGTCTCGATCTCTTGACCTCGTGATCCACCCGCCTCGGCCTCCCAAAGTGCTGGGATTACAGGCGTGAGCCACCGCGCCCGGCCTCACTGATATTTTCAAAGTATTAGCGCAATTATTACATACATGCTATCCTTTGCGTAAATCAACTCTCAACTCTGCAATTATATTTCTTTAGTTGTGTTATTTATACTTTGTAACTTTTTATTTAACTAGAGTTACCAGCTTATTGAAATTCCTTCATTTTTCAAATTAGCTCACATTTATCCATCAACTCTGTTTTCTGCTACACTGAGTTTGGCTTTATCTTTTTAAATTTTATTGGGATTGCTTTTCCCTCCTTCTCTAATTTATTGAGTTGAATGTTTAAATACGCATTTTAGCTTTCTTTTCGGTAAATAATGCATTAAATACTATGGATCTGGCTTGAGGAACTTCTGTATTCTTATAGGGTGTGGTGTTTTCATTTTCATTACTTTCAAATATTCTGTAGACTGTACTTTGTTCCTCTGTGTTTCAATAAGAGGCTTTTTAAAAATTACAGTTACTTATGGTTTAATTTCGTTTTGATCACAAAATGCGATGTGTGTAATGTATGTTTTTTAGAACACAATAGGAGGTTTCCTCGGTTCTGGTCAGTGTCCCTTGGATGCCTGAAGATGTCACAATGAGGTGTTTTATTGACTTCCGTGTGCAAACGAAGACACGTTGTTGATAATACTTTGTTAAAATCCCCATTACCTTATTTTTTTCTCAGTTGATTTTTCTTTGCTTAAAAATGATGTGTCCAAGCTCTCCCTACAATGAATTTCTGTCACTTACTCCAAATATTTCTAGTGGTTTTGCCTTACAAAGCTTGAGGTTATGATTATACCCACATGGTAGATTAAACTTCTGTGTCATTTACATGACCTTTTTGCCTTGTGGTTGGAATCTACTTAATCTGTTAGTAACATTGAATATCTTGGGGTTTTTTATTTAAATTTGGATTAGTATGACATATATTTTCCTTGTGTGGAAGCAGGGTGCATGCATGCATGGGCGTGTGTGTGTGTGTGCCTGAATGTGTGTGTGCACACGTGTGTGCATATTGTTTTTAGATATATATGCCTGAGCCCATGGCTGCCACAGGGACGGGAACATGAGGACTGCAATGAAGTCTTTGTACTTCATATGCTGTTCCCTCTACCCAGAATGTTGTTAACTTCCATGACGATCTTCTCACCATCACCTCCTCTCATCACCTACTCTCTATCTCCAGAGAGTATTACTGCATCTCAGTTCGGTGTTATTTCTATACTTGATCAAAGATCACCTCCTCCAAGAAGTCCTCCGACTTGCTCCTTCCTCTGAACCCAGCACTTTCTCTATCCTTCTCTGAAAAGGTGAAGGATATCCTTCTCTATCCTACAAGCTACTTTGTAGGATAATGATTTTTATAGATTTTTTTTCTATGATCAATATGTTTTCCAAATTAAAAGTTACTGTGTGGGATCTGTCCAGAACAAGTGTGTTTTGGGAGGGGAAAAAACCAACTTGATGAGCTTGGAATTTCTCTGGAAAGTCTTAGATATTTGGTTGCCAGATGATTCTTCCTTTACTAAGAGAAAGCAAAACAAAACAGAGCGGGGCAGCCCAGCTGAACTGTTTCCTACCTGGGCAAGCACCACCTCCCGAGCCTCAAATGTACCACCTGTGGAACCGGGATCACAACGTCGTCATCGGAAGTACTTGGTAGACAAAGGAGAGGCAGGGGTTAATGTGGTCACAATGAATAAGAATGGGCTTTGAAAGTCACAAGCTCTGTTAGCACTAGATAATAAATCCCTTGTAAGTAGGTTCCATGAGTGTATCCTCTTTATGTACCCTCAGGCCCTGATGTCCCTGTCATGGGACTTGGAAGACCCCTCTATCTAGCCTAGCATTTCTGTTGCAACATATAACTCTTTTTCCCTCTTATGGAAAACAGATGGATTACCAGATTGTCACTATTGTCTCTTGCTCTTAAGCAAGGTACACAACGATCTATGCATCCCCTACAGAAGACAGGCTCCATGGCTGCCACAGGGACGGAAACATATGAGGTCTGCAAATACCCTCAGACTTCCTCGCTGTTTAGAAATCAAGCTTGCCTGCCTGGTGTATCAGTTAGGATCATGTTCAACCACATGTGACTAAAACCCCAAAATAACAGTGACTCAAACACAAGAAAAACTTATTTTTTTTCACATTAAAGAGATTCAGAAGTATGAAATGCAGGCCTGATACGAGAGACACATGCCCTTCAGGAACCTGGTCTCTTTCTAGCTTGCTGCTCCACCATCACCAAGGAGTGACCCTCATGATCTAAGATGGCTGCTAGAGTTCCAGCCATCACATCTACATTCCAGGTAGCAGGAGAGAGGAAGGATTGAAGAAGGGCAAGCTCTTCCTTTTCAGAGATAACTTCCTGGAAGTCCCACAGGACACTTCTGCTTACTCTTCCTTGGACAGAAGTTATTTACTTAGCTACAAGGAAAGCTAGGAGATGTATTCCTTCTTTGGACAGCTAAAGTGAGAGCTAAATCAAGGTGCTGAGATGGCCATCTAAGATCAGCTGGCAGAAGATTCCAGGGACTTCCTAGGAGAAAAAGCATCATAGAACAAGAGATCTTGCCAGGTTAATCTTGACAGGTTTCTTGAGGCTGGGTTTGTTTCTGGAATAGTCTGATTCAGCCACCCTGGCACAAAAGAGGATAATCTAAAAAGCTGTAACAAGGGTTCCCAGCCAATCCTGCTGTGTGGGACCACCCTTCTCTAGCAGCTGTTTTGAAGACCTCCAGCTTCCAGGGGGAGTGCCTGAGTTACATTTAGTGGGAACACGGGGACCAGTGCCTGGGCTCCATCTGCACCCAGAGTTCTTGGATGGTGCCCAGAGAAGAGGGGCCCTGAGTCTGATTAGTTTAAATACTAAAAGAGACATGTGTTCATTCTGTATCCTGAGCTGCTGGAAGAGAAAGCATCGGCTGTCTAAGGAAGTACTGAACTTGGTATAAATGTTCCTAGGACCTGAGATCCTTGTTTTCCAGGGAATCCTCAGCAAAGAGCGTGACGGGGCAAACTGGGACCCACTTGCATATGTGAATCCTTCACACCAGCATGATGCTCACCCTAGATGTGGAAACATCCGGGACCTT